GAGACAGTACAATTGGCACAGGACAGAGTTTAGGGCTGTTGTACATAGGGGAGCTATGAGTCTTAAGTGACTCGACAACACATAACAACAACACTTATGACCATCTGGGTATTGTTGTGTTAGTTTGATTTCTTTGTCTTGTCTCTTTAACTGCTTGTCATGAGTAATATATGCTACATACAGTGCTATAGTACATACTTTTCTGATGTTATCATTCTCAGATGTTCACTTGCAGATGTTGTTATTTACTGTTGAATACATTGCCATATAGCAAGCAATAATGAAAATGTAAAAATGTAAAAAAAAAAGATATAAACTTACTTTTCAAGTCCTTGAAATGGAACCTCATTATAAGTTGGAGACTATCTGGAGAAGATCAGCACACCCTCAAGATCTCTATAAAATCTGTTGACAACAAGTAATCTTCAAACTAGTGGCATCTTGGGTTTTAACATCTAGCCTTCATTCCAGAATTACAGGGTTACCTGAGAGTCATTGTTATGTGCCAGGGTGACCCTATGAGCAACAGATGTGACCTCCATCTATCCTGCACCATCCCCATGATCTCCAACATGCCTTAGCCCATTTTTTAAAATAAAGGGTTTTTTTAAAATGCAGATTTCCCCCCTACACTTTCCTTTGTTGACATTATGTTCTATACAATCATTCCCATACATTGCATTTTATAAAGTTAACCACCATCGGACGATGCCCACCACCACCACCCCATCTTACAGTCACTATGTTGACAGTCTTCTCCTCTTTCATTGACTCTCCACCTTTACCCACACGGTCTACTTTTCCGAGAACGGGCTTCTCTCAATAGTGTGCCCACAGTATGGGAACTGAAGTTACACCATCCTTGCCACCAGAGGGAGGGCCTTGGTTGTGCTTCCTCTGAGACAGGCTTGTTTGTCTTTCGGTTACTCCATAGGTTATTCAGTTTTCTTCTCCAGCACCACAACTCAAAGCCTTCGGTTCTTCAGTCATCCTTAGTCATTGTCCAGCTTTCAGATGCATTGGTTGCAACTGAAAGAACAAGGGCTTGGATCAGACACATCTTATTCCTCAAACTTGCACCTTTGCTCTTTCGGACTTTGGAGAGGTCCTTGACAGCAGATTTTCCCGGGCTTCATCTTCTGATTCCTTGAGCGCGGCTACCATGGGTGCTGATTGTGGATCCAAGTCAATGAAATCGGTGACATTGCCAGTCTCTTCTCTATCTATGATGATGTTGCCTATGGGCCCAGTGTTGAGGAGTTTTGTTTGCCTTTTTATTTTCCAGTGGGAAAGTTTTATTTGTAATATCCACAAACAATGGGAAATTTGTAAACATAACATTATTGTTTGACTAAAATTACTTACTCTCAACATACCAGGACCCTTAGAAGACCCATTTTTTTTTTTAGATTGGCTCTGTCCTCAGCTCTAAGGAATGGCTACATATTACCAGCATAGCACTGGCACTGAATGATCCCTCAGGTGACAATTTCTTTTATCCATAGTTCCACAACTCAGCAGCAGGGCAGCCAAGAGCACAGTGCACAGCAGAGGATGGTCACCTCTCAACTCCCACCCTAGAGTCACTGTGACTCAGTGACACCTCCTCACACTTCAGTCACCTAGCCAGAAACTAGTGATGACATTCAGACTTCTTTGCACCAGAGCCCTGCCTGTGCCCTCTGTAGCCTGAGTCAAGCTCAGGAGCTTTGGAATTTCTGGGACATTATTGATTCCAACTACAGATTGGTATTGTTCCCTGTCCTCGGCCCCTCACCTTCTGAGAGGTCTGGGGCTCTTACATGGGTATCAGGGACAGAGCTGCTTACTCAGGAAGCATTGCTTTTTATGGCTCTGAAAGCTGCTGGTGGAGTCCAGTCCCCTGATAACGCCATCCTCACAGAATGGCTTCTCACTGCAGCTTAGCTCACTCTGAGGCTTCAGAGCCACCTTCTCCTAACACAGCATGAGCTCAGCAAACCCCCTCTGTCCCTGGTTGGTTTTCTGTCCAATCCCTCTCTGCTCTCCCTTACCCAGCTGGCTTTCATGAAGAGAACTGCATGACCCTTTGGTGTCTGTCTCCTGGAGCCACCATGGGGCAGATTTTTGTTTACTTGATGTTGAGATGTAATCCATATTGAAAGTTGTAGTCTGATCTTCTGCAGTAAGTGCTTCAAGGCTTCTTTACTTTCAGCAAGTAAGATTGTGTCCTGTCCATAATGCATATTGTTGATGAGTATTTCTCTAATCCTCCATATTGTTTGTTGTACTTGCGAGTAGTACTTTAAACTACCAGAAGAAGGGCATTTTCTTACTGATTTAGCTTGTGTAAGGGACTCATCCTGATTCAATAAACTGCAGCCAAGAAAGTAGGATACTAGACCAATCACTGGTCAGAAAGGCACAGTCTTCAAGAATATATCAGGTTCTATTTGAAGAATAGTTTTAGAAAAAGTGATTACCAGGGGAGTGAAAGGTGAGGTAATATGGAATTCCAGGGTGCTCCTTAGAGGCTAGAATGATTAAACTTCATCTTACATACTCTGGACATGTTGTTAGGAGGAGTCAGTCCTTAGGAAAAGACATCATACTTGGAAAGATGGACGGTCAGTGTAAGAGAGGAGGACCTTCAACAACATGAACTAAGACAATGACTAACAATAGGCTCGAGCATGTCAGAGATGATGCAGATGTCCCAGGGATAGGGTAGGTTTCAGATCTGTTGCTCATAAGGTCACAATGGGTCATAGTCAACTCAATATCGCCTAACAACAACAACAACAACAACAACAACAAGCAGAAAGATTGACTAATGTTTGCTACACCTTGGTTCTTATATTCATTACAGGCTAGATAACATATTATTTGCTGAGAATACAATAATAAATAAGGTATCTTGAGATATTTATAGCCTAGTAACCCTGACAGTACATAGATAGGAAATTGCCAGAAGTTCAAGCTGGATTCAGTAGAGGTTGTGGGACAAGGGACATCATTGGTGATGCCAGATGGATCCTGGGTGAGAGCAGAGAATGCCAGAAGAATATCTATTTGTGCTTTATTGACTATGCAAAGGCATTTGACTGTGAGGACTATAACAAATTATGGCTAACATTGAGAAGAATGGGAATCCCAGAAATCCCAGAACATCTGATTGTGCTAATGTGAAACCTAGACCTAGACTAGGAGGCTTTTGTGCAAACAAAACAAGGGGACACTCAGGGTTCAAAATCAAGAAAGGAGTTTGTCAGGGGTGTATCCTTTTTCCATACCTTTTCACCCTAAATGCAGAACAGATCATCTGGGAGGCCGGACTTTATAAAGAACAATGTGACCTCAGGATTGGAGGAAGACTCACCAACAACCTGCATTATGCAGATGACACAATTTTGCTTGCTACAACTGAAGAGGACTTGAAATATTTGTTGCAGAAGGTCAAGGACTGCAGTGTTCAATACAGATTCCACCTCAAAAAACAAAGATCTTCACCACCAGGCCAATTGGCAGTATCATCACAGATGGAGAAAAGACTGAGATTTCCTCTTATTTGGACACACAATCAGCACTATTGACAACAGCAGTCAGGAAATCAAAGGACAGTTGTTTTGGGAAAATTGCTGTCAAGGACCTCTCCAGAATGCCAAAGAGCAATGATGTTAATCTAGAGACTAGGGTATGCCTGATCTAGGTCATAGTCTCCTCGATTGCTTGCTATGCATCTTACAGCTGGTCAATGAATGAATAAGGATGACAGAAGAATTGATGCCTTTGAGTTGTGGTGCAGGAGAAAAGAATTGAACATTCCATGGACTACCAAGAGAACAAATAGGTCTGTCCTGGAGTTACTTTCTCCAACCAAGTTGCTCCTTCAGGGCAAGGGTTTTGAAGCTCCATCTCACATACTTTGGGGATGTTGCCAGGAGCAACCAGTCCTTGGAGAAGGACATCATACTTGGAGGGGTGCAGTGTCAGCACATGAGAGGAAAACCCTGGATGAGTTAGAGTGACACAGTGACTGTGGCCGTGGGATCAGGTGTGTCAGAGATGGTGGGGTTGGCTCAAGACAGGGCAAGGCTCAGAGCTATTGCTCATAGAGCTGGTATGAACTGTAATTTACTTGATGGCATATAACAACATCAACAGATAAGAAGTCTACAACTCAGAAGACTTGAATATGTTAATTTTTTAGCTCTTACTCCTTATTCTCAATATCTATGCTTCTGCTCTGTCAATGTGTTTGTTCAAGTTTTGTGAATGCAATTCCTGATACTTCTGGTTTTTTTTTTTTAATCTCTTTCTCTCCCCAGGCTCTTTGGCGATCTAGGAAGAACTTTTTTATAGACATGGGGACATAAAGTCAGATCAAGATGCCCAAATCTTTAACCATCCGGAGACCTGATTAGAGAAGTTTGTGGCCACTGTACTCCTGTATAACTAGCATACTTTTGCTTTCCTCTATCTTCTGATTAAAGAATCCCTCTTGCTTGTGGAGAATTCAAAATGGATTGAGTGGGACTGATCTTACCGTCCTATTTCCAACTTTGCCCTGTCTCCAACCCTTATCACTAGCTATAGAACAAGGAAAAACTGTGGAACCTTGAGCTGCCAGTAGCTATCTGTGCCATCATGCTGGAAAAGTCTACCTGATAATAAAAAGAAAAGCAGAGATAACATGATGAAAAACAAAAATGTAATTATGATGCTAAGGGAATAATTTTAATTTTTTATCCAGTCATATTTTAAAATATTAATATAAATCCTTGTGCTGTAGCACAGTGGTTCACAGTACACATTCTGGGTTAGATGGACCTAAATTTGAATCCTATCTCTAACTACTCACTAACTATATAGGCCTGTATGCAATACATACTGCTCAACAGTGCCATTATGATTATTTTTTTCCAAAGTTCACGTCTAAATTCCAGATGTGCCACTATCACCAAGCACACATATCTTAGCCATGTCTCCTGGATGGCAGAACAATACGACATCTGACTCACCCTCAGAGGCTTTCCAGTAGGACACACCAACAGCATGAAGACTGACAGGATGAGAAGCCATGTTCTTAAGTGTAAGGATTACTGTGTCATAAACCTCAGTCCGGATGGTAGGACCCAGCAGACCTGCAAGAATGAGATACCTTTAAATGTCATTTGGAGTGTGAGAGTCCCTGTCATAGTAGGGCAGCACGCACTGCTGATTATGGATAAAGAGCAGTACTAGCTTGCTGCTAGCACTAGCATGGTCTTACAATTGTTCAGAGAAACATTTTCTGACAATTCATCCAATGCAGACAATCATTCAACAAATATATGACTCCCTATTATGTTGTTCATGTTGCTAAGAGAGGCTGTTCCTTGGAAAGGGACATCATGCTTGGAAAGGGGGAGGGTCAGCAAAAGAGAGGAAGACTCTCATCAAGATGATGAATTGACACAGTGGCTGCAGGCATGGGCTCATGTGTGTCAGACATGATTAGGACAGCACAGGATAAAACATAGTTCAGGTAAGTTGTTCATAAGTTCATTATAAGTTGTACTCAGCAACACCTAACAACAACAAAAGAAAATCAGGATAGAGAGGTAGACAAGGAATGTACTTTGCAGGTTCTCATAGGCCATAGAAGTTTGGATTAATTTGGGTTTTACAAGAAGTAAACAGATTTAGAACTTGTTTCAGAGAAGGAGGCAACAGACTTACTGATGGGTTGATCCTACAGATAGAAAAACAGAAGACAGAATGAAAGATGAATGTCTAGAATTTGTACAAATGAATTGACAGTGACACAGAAAAATCAAGATTATATTAAGTGTGAACAGTTTAGGTTTGTTTTTTTTTTCCAAACTGGATTCAGTGATATGAAAACACAAGTTAGATTCATTTTTTATGACATTATTTTTGTGTTATTTGGCATCTACTTTTCTTGTACTAAATACTATTTCATATATTTTCTAGTCACCCTTATAAATTAACAAAGAGCACCATTTTAAAGTACTACCAAGATCAATGCAGTCTAAGCTAAAACCTAGATGAATGCTAGGATTTAAAATGTCTTCCCTCTTCACACTAGGTTCTAACAGACTCAGAAAGTGGGAGTAGGTAGGCCTGACCCAATTACCTCACGTGCATGTGAAAGCCAGACAATGACTAAGGAAGACAGAAGCAGAAGTCTTTGAGTTGTGGTGCTGGTGAGCAGTACTGGATTCATCAGCTACTGCCAAAAGAACAAGTGTAACCAAGGTGCAATTCAGAGACAAGGAGGGGGAGACTCTGCCTCATGTACTTTGGGCATGTTTTCAAAAGAGGCCCATCCTTAGAGAAGGGATCACGTTTGGTAGAGTGAATGATGGGCTAAGGGTTGACGAACCAGTTTGGGTCATTACAATTTCAATATAGAAAATGCCCCACTTTAGCACTCTGTTATATGACTATTTGACATGTAAGTGGAGACATCAAGGAAGCAGCTGAAGCTCAGAGGAGAAATCCAAATTAAAAACATTAATTTGTGAATTATTAATCGATACATAATATCGAACAATATGATTAATATTAAATGTAAGCAAGATCCCAATGAAAATTGTCCCAAAACGACTGGAACAGCACATCAACAGTGTAGGATGGGGTTAGAGGAGGCCATGACACTAGGGACATTGTAGCCAATGTTAGATGAATCTTGGCTGAAAGAAGGGAGTACCAGAAGAATGTCTATTTGTGTTTTATTGACAACGAATTGTGGCTAACCTTGAGAGGAATGGGCATCCTAGAACACTTGATTGTGCTCTTGTGAAACCTATACTTGGACCAGGAGACAGTAATCAGAACAGAACAGGGAAACACTGTATGGTTCACAATCAGAAAAGGTGTATGCCAAGGATGCATCCTATCTTTTCAATCTATATGCGGAACAGATCATCCAGGATGCTGGGTTTTATGAGGAGAAATATGGCGTCAGGATTGGACGTGGACTCATCAACAATCTGTGTTATGCAGATGACACAACCCTGCTTGCTGAAACTGAGGAGGATCTGATGCACTTGCTGCAGATGGTCAAGGAGTGTAGCCTTCAATATGGATTGAAGTTCAACATCAAGAAAACAAAGATTCTCACCACTGGGCCCATTGGCAGCATGATGAAAGACAGTGGAGAGTTTGAGACTGTTAATAGCTTCAGGTTGCTTGGCCCCAAAATCAACACTCTTGGTACCAGTAGCCAGGAAACCATAAGAAAAATTGCATTGAGAAAGTCTGCTGTCAGGGACCTCTCCTGAGTACAGAAGAGCAATGACGTCAGTCTAGAGACTAAGGTGTGCCTGATCCAGGCCCATGGTCTTTGCAATTACGTGCTATGCATCAAAAAGCTAGATAGTGACTAGGGATGATAGAAGGAGAATTGATGCCTCTGAGCTGTGGTGCAGGAGAAAAGTGTTGAATATACCATGGACTTCTAAGAGAACAAACACGTTCATCCTGGAGAGGGTTAAACCAGGCTGCTCCTTGGAGGCAAGGATTCTGAAGCTTCATCTGACATACTTTGGACATGTTGCAAGGAGGGACCAGTCCTTGGAGAGGGACATTATGCTTGGGAGGTTGGAGGGACAGTGCAAGAGAGGAAGTCCCTGGATGAGATGGATTGATTCAGTGAGTAGGGTAATGGGGGTGGGCGTGTCAGACAATAAGGTTGGCAAGGGACAGAGCAGGTTTTAGGGCTGTTGTACATTGGGTCGCTATGAGTCACAAGTGACTTGATGGCACACAACAACAACAGTTTAGAGCTCTGAGATTCAATAAAATCACCTAGAGACTGAAGGTAGAGAGAAAGGAAAAGAGATTCAGGAACAAGCACCACTGAGACACAACGCTTAGAGGACCAAGGATAAAATGGCTCTGAAATACAATCTGCTTATTTCCATGAGAGGTGACAGTCAAAGAAGCCTGGCCAAACGACCACTCTCTTTGGGAGCTTCTTTCTTTAACTTTTAAGATTGGGGAATATATGCTAGAAGATAATATACTTGTTTTCATAATTAAATATTCAATGTGTTTTTATTACCCATGGAAGGGGGTCTGGGCTTGGCCATGTTGAAAAGGTGATCCGTGAACTCTACAAACACAGTCTTTTTGAACATGACTGTGGTGTTGAATGGAGATCTTGGCACTCTAGGAAATAATCTGTGTAGAGAAAGAAAAAAATTTATTTATTTTGGTGGATCTTTCTTTTATCCCACTGTGAAAAGCAGCTAGGCTGACACTCCTCTTTCTTTTCAGTAATCAACAATAGAGGTTATACATACCATATTTCTGCATGTAATGGGCCCACGTGAATAACCTGCACACACATATACTGCAGGCAAAACATGCACAGGAAACTGATGTTTGAGAGGTTAGCATAGTTTACAAAAACTGTATAGATTGTATACTGTTTGTATAAAAATATGGTAGATAAGGGTATTAGTGTTCTTTGGCAGCCATAACAAAATACCATAAGTAGTAGCTTTAAAGAAAATAGATTTATGGTCTCAAAGTCATGGAATTAGAATTCTAAATCAGGGTATTTGTTTTGTTGATTCTTCCTGAGAGTTGAGGGAGAAAAACTGTTCCAGGCCTCTCTCCTGGCTTCTAAAGGCTGCTGGCAATCCTTGGCATTCTTTTGCTATTTATTACCAATCCCATTCTTCAATGAGATGGAAAAGGCAATCTCCAATTTCATTTGGAATGGAAAGAGGCCCCAAATAAGCAAAGCACTCCTTAAAAAGAGAAACAAGCTAGGAGGCATCTCACTCCCTGATTTCAAATCCTACT